GGGCGGCGGCGCGCGCGAAGGCGGCTCGGCATCGCTTCTCGGCCTTTTGGCTAAGATCAAGTGTAGTATCTGTTCTTATCAGTTTAATATCTGATACGTCCTCTATCCGAGGACAATATATTAAATGGATTTTTGGAGCCGGGAGTTGGAATAGGAGCTTGCTCCGTCCACTCCGCGCATCGACCCGGTATTGCACGGTGCACCCCCTCGGGGGATACAACGCGGTCTCAAAGGCAGACTTCACCCAGCTCGTGGGCTTGCTTGCCCAGAAACGCCTGGGGCTTCTCCTTGCTCGTGTTTTGTGCTGCTTCCTCTGCGTGTGCAGACCAACAGGAGACCAACCACACCGCCCAGACTAGACGTCTCGCTGTCCAGCCACAATGGCAGTGGTCCACCTCTGGGAGCCAACCAGCCTGCACCTCCCAACAGGGGACTGTGGCATCCATAGCTATTGCCTCCAAGCCCCACATGGCCGCCGGTTCTGCTCCCACCTCTTCCGTTCTAGCTCTCTGCTACGGCCTGGGAAAGCCCACACGCTAGGGCCCCTGCACCCGCATGGGAGACCCAGGAGAACCTCCTGCCTCCTGCCTTTGGATCCCATCAGAGAACCAGAGCATGCAAGACCTCTCTCTACCTCTCTCTCTGACCCTGTCTTTCTTTCCTTTCTTTCCCCTCCCCTCCCCTCCCCTCTGAAATTTTCATTAAAAACAGCCAGGCCCCAGGAAGATGGGCTAGGAAAGGCCAGCAGGGGGCTCTGAGCCCTTGACCACTCCCAGAAGGAAATAGGGGTGGGAGAGGGCTCCCCGTACACTTCCTCACTGGGTTCAGGCCTCTCCAGGCTCATGGGCCCCTAAGTTCAAGGTCTCTTTAGCTGAGGGGAGAAGGGGCAGGAAGAGACAGAAAGAGCCCCCCCCTTCCCCTGCATTGTCTTTTCACAGACGCTAACACTGTGGAGACCAGGGAGCAGCAGGTGGAGGAGCCCTTCCACCCTGAAGGCAGCTTTGTCCCCCCAACACAAAATACATAAATAAATACATAAAAAGAAATATTGTGTGGGCCGGTGCCACGGCTCACTTGGCTAATCCTCCGCCTGTGGTGCTGGCACCTCGGGTTCTAGTCCAGGTTGGGGCGCCGGTTCTGTCCCGGCTGCTCCCCTTCCAGGCCAGCTCTCTGCTGTGGCCCGGGAAGGCAGTGGAGGATGGCCCAGGTCCTTGGGCCCTGCACCCGCATGGGAAACCAGGAGGAAGCACCTGGCTCCTGGCTTTGGATTGGAGCACAGCGCGCCGGCCGTGTTGCCGTTTCGGGGGGCGAACCAACGGGAAAAGGAAGACCTCTCTCTCTCTCTCTCACTGTCTAATTCTGCCTGTCCCCCCCTCCAAAGAAATTTTAAAATATTGTCTTAATTTGGAGCTTTTTAACAGGTTCTTTCAAATGTAAATCAAGGAAATTGGCAGATGGAAAACATCACAAGTATAGAAATATGCGCTTGATAAGAAAGGTTAAGAAGATAAAAGGTTTTTTTGAATAAAGAAAGGACATGGTTTGTAAGAATGACTTCATCCTGATGGCTAGTTTACTCTTGACTGGAATGGAAATGATAGAACATTTCAAGTAAGTTGAAGAGGGTGTGATGAAGTCACAGAACGTTATAAAAAAAGAAATTTTTAATCCAAATCTATTCTATTTTTTTTTTGTTAACATAGAATTATAATCTGATAATCCTCTATTAAGGAAATAGAGGATTTTTGCAATATATGTTAGGAAACTTTTTTTTTTAAGATTTTATTTATTTATTTGACAGGTAGAGTTACAGACAGTGAGAGAGAGAGAGAGAGAGAGAGGTCTTCCATCTACTGGTTCACTCCTCAAATGGCCACAACGGCCGGAGCTGCATCATCCGAAGCCCAATAGCCAGGAGCTTCTTCCCAGTCTCCAACGCTGGTGCAGGGGCCCAAGGACTTGGGCCATCTCCCACTGCTTTCCCAGGCCATAGCTGAGAGCTGGATTGGAAGAGGAGCAACTGGGACTCGAACCACCGCCCATATGGAATGCTGGCGCCGCAGGCGGAGGATTAAGCTAGTGCGCCATGGCGCCAGCCCCTAGCAAACAGTTTTTAATTGTCTTAGAAATCTGTTTAAAACTTGTAGCATCTCCTTTTGATCGTTTTAATTGGTGACTCTGTTCAGTGTTTTAGCAAGCTCCAGTAAGCTCGTCTCTCTCCCTAGTCCTGACTCTGTTAAAACTGTTCCAAAGCATGGGATTCGACTCAATGCCCCAGCTCTTAAATTTAAGGTTTTATTTCTGAGTCTTGGAACAACCAAAGAGACACAGATTTTGTGTTATGTTAAAGTAATCTATTATGTTCTCTTGATGTCTCTGTTAAATTCTAATTGTTTAAAAACACCTGAGTTTGTGTTAAGAATTATGATTTGTTTGAATATATGCTTATCCTAAAACATTTGAGTAATCACCTTGTCACAGGGATCAAATTTGGTCTATATTATGTCATCGTGTTAAGGGATCTTATTTCAACCAGATATTTTAAGCCTTCTTGGCATCCTTGACAGGCATTCCAAAAAAAAAAAAGAAAGAAAAAAGAAAAAAATCAAAGGATATGTGTCTCTCATCGAAGCAGGCTATTTGGATTATATTAGAAGTACTGTCAAGATGTGAAGTGGTGCTACCTTTGGGTGCTACCTTTTAAGTTTTGATAATATAAAATGCTACCGCTAAAAAGTCTAATGACCTTGTGTTACCAGACACGATGGTTATCCTAATGAGAAAGGCCTAAAAGGGTTAAATGTTCTGTAAAATCCTGCAGGTGCTTTTGGAAATACTGTGTGAAGTAAGCAAGTGCCTCTTGTTGGTTAATGAGTTTAGAATTTTACACGTGGCAACTTAAAGTCTTTGGCCATCCACAGTTTTATATATCAGATTTGCTGCTCATAAAACTAAAGCGTTGTTATTCTGATGGACTTTTTCCAGCCACTTCTATTGTATTCAGAACTTTGGGGTAACTCTGTAAACAGATGAAGCCAATAATGTATTACAGATACCAACCGAGAGAAAGTATGGTTAACTGAGGTTACTAAGAGCAGCAAGTCATTCGAACCAACTGGTAATTTACCAAAAGGAGTTAAAGAATTTTTTTTTAAAAAAAGCTATTACTGAAACTGCTTTATTGTGCTATCTTGTATGTTATGTTATATGTATACACATATGGTATGTCTACACGGGAATATTTCTTAAGAGCTTTATTTTCATTGGCTTATAGAGAACAGATTGCTCATAAATTTAAACTGCTAAAATTAATCAAAGATACATTTTGATTCCTGTGACCTGAATCTCTGTATCAGAAGCTTTAAATCTGTTGGTAGAAAGAAATGAAAATGTTTTTATATGTTTGTGCTTGAGTTTGCTGATTCAACAAGCCACATCATGTCAGATATTTAAGAGATGTTTCCAAACACACGTATTCTTAAAATTTACAGGAGGCATCGGACCTCCTGTTAAATGTTCTCCTAACTGGTTATCTAAAGGGTGACATCGCTTGCTAAGTCTTCATTTGCTATTGCTATTGTCAGCAAGCAGTCTGGGACTCCCTCCCTCCTCTCTCTAGTCTCTTCAAGATGGGATACTGAGTATTTGGAAGGACGCTCCAAGAGGCACCACTTGGCTTTTGGATCTTAGAAAAGGGATGGCTACCATTTTCTGTGATAATAGCATAGGCAAAAGGAGAGCTTAAATTATAATTTCACAGCTAGGTTGACTTCGCCTTGGGCACGGTAAACAGGCAAAACCTCCCTTTCAGACCACGCAAAGGGAGAGAAAGCTTTCAAGTGAGGACACAGCTTTCCTCAGGGGCATTGTCTACCTCACAGAAGAACCACTACCAGAACCACTACTACGCCTGTGACTGTAGACTTCTAGTGTGGGCCACAAAGGTCTGCTTTAACCAAAACCAGGAGGAAGAGAAAGCTAGGCATCAGAAGCAACGTAAAGATAGGTGGAGGCCCATTAAATGTAACTCTGCACTCTGAACGGTGCTGTTTGTTTTTTTTTTTTTAATTTTATTTTATTTTATAATGAAGCAAACGATGGTGCCTGTCTTAGGTTGTGGGTTCCACCCGCACATTCTTACCCGTCATCAGAATCCATCGTCATCGATGAATCCCTGTCTTAGGTTGCTATGTGCGGCAACCCATCTTACCCGTCATTGACTACCCACCGTCTTATCTTCTGAGGGACTTCCAAGGCCTAGTTAGAAAATACACGAAACACCTGCCAACAAGACGGGCTGTAAGGAGGCTTATGAGGAAGATTACAATCCCCACAAACAGTTCTTTAAGCCAGGAGAAATTTGGCAGCCAGGATGTAAGCCAATTGAATAAGCTTTTGGACCCTTTGTCTTGAGTCAAGTAAGAAGCAAGTTCTGTGCATTTTTGGATTTCAATAGCAATACTATGAGAGTTATCAGTAAGATTAAAACAACATATTCTTAACTTGATTGCATTTTTGTGATGTAATAAGAGAAGATAATCAACGGCTGCACTATTATCTAGAATACCCTGCCGCAATACTTGTTGTTGTTCGTTTGATAAGGATAGGGCAGTTGAAGAATGATCGATATTTTTTTTAAAGCCAGTTAAATTTAGCAGTGGGGGGTTGTATACCAACTTTAGTGACACTAATGCTGATAAGTTCTGATAACCCACTACCATCGGACCAGCCTGACATTAGGCGAGAGATGAAACATATAGCCAAATATCAACTATTTTTGATTACAAAAGGAGGTTTGGTACAAAGTTTTAAAGGATGAACGTCAGTCCATACAGACTGCAGCGAGGTTAGCACAAATTGCAGAACACACGGAAAACATCCCATACAAAGTAGGAAAAGCAGTAGCGGTCCAGCCAACATTGATAACCAATGAATCCATTGAAACCCTCCAAATGAATAGTGGGTTAGTAATAAACATATGTTGCATTTTACTCTTAAGTTTATCAATAACAGACTCTATATATGGCACATTGTTCGTAATGTTAAAATAACATTCCCCTGGTACAGATTTACAGCTTATATGATTGTTTAACAGCAAATAATCGATAGCTGCTCGGTTTCAGTGTACTCCTGGATGAACTTGATCCAATTCTTCAGCTATACTGGATAGCGCAGTAGCAGTAAGATTGATTGTTTTGGTCACCAAACATGTAAGCCTTCGTAGTCCACGATTATTTCCATAAGCCAATCCAGGAACTCCCACTAGCTGTATAGCCATGGTGAAAGCAGGTCTCCAATTACGATGACATCATCATCACAGTTCTCAGGGAATGAGCGTCGCTGTCCTGTCTTTGGAAATACAGATGTTAAAGCATTGGGGCCACACGGCCCAATGGGCAGTTGTGAAAATCATCAGGGGCTAACAATGTAAAAGCAAATTGGTTGCATAAAAATACCCATCCCTTAGGAGCCCGCGTCCCATACCAGTACCGGATCAGGTCCATTCGATTGATTGGTGATAGGATCCCTCCATTTCACCATTGCTCTTTTCGCAGCTGTGTGGATGCCAGTGTTGATCAGCTGCAAAACGACCATCTTTATCCAATGTGAAAAAATTTAAAATGAATAAAGCATGTGAGAGCCATTTGTTAGGAGAATGGGCAAGAACCCCAAACTCCCCTTTTTTAATTTTATTAAAGCATTGCTTTAAAGTATTATGTGTACGTTTAACAATGCCTCGACCCTGAGGATTATAAGGAATGTCAGTAACATGAGATATAAAAAAGTTACACAAAGATTTTTAAAAGAGGCAGAGATATAAGCAGGTTCATTATCCGTTTTAATCTGCTTTGGAGTTCCTAGGGAAGCAAAAGCTTGTAATAACACATCTTGTGGCTTCACCTGTATGTAAGGAAGCAAACATAAATCCAGAACAAGCATCAATAGACACACGTATATATTTTTGTTTACCAAATTCCATGAAGTGGGTGATATCCATTTGCGATAGTTGATTGGGGAATAAACCGCGAGGATTAATTCGAAGGTGAGGTACTGGTAACTGGATGGAGCAAGTAGAACAGAATGTTACAATTTGTCGAGCTTGTTCTTGAGTCATATTATGTTTTAAGCGTAACGTATGAGCATTTAAATGATGTAAAACGTGATCTCCTGTTGCTGTATCAATAGAATATATGCATAGAGCAGAATGTGCCACACGATTGCCATCTACCAAAGGTCCAGGAAGATTGGAATGTGCTCGAATAGGACCTATAAAGAAAGGGCAGGTATACTGCCGAATGACAGTGCAAATGCGAGAACACAAAGGAGAGGCAGCTGAGGATCCAGGAAGGAATGAACAAGTTTCCAATCGAGGCACCGATAGGAACACATATTTGCTATCGGTGTATATGTTAACCGCTACATCCAAAGTAGACTGCAATGCAAGTGCAACAGCAGCTAATTCAACTAGCTGTAGAGATGAAAAAGAGGTGTTAATAACTGTACGGTGACCATCACAAATTACAGAAGCTTGACCAGTGTTGGCACCCTCTATAAATATCAAGCCAGCATTCTCTAAGGGTTGAAAGCTTGCATTTCGTGGAAATACACAGGAATGATGTCATAAAAATTGTATCACTTTATCTGCTGGATAGTTATTACGACCTTGTCCTGAAAAAGAAGCTAATGCAAGAGGCCAGCCTTCAGTGAAAGACAGGAGCCATATTAGCTGTTTGTTAGTATATGGTTGGTTGACATATACATGTCAGCTCTATTTCAAATATCTTTTGTACATTTTAGTCTCCCTTTAGCGATAATCTCAGCTATTGCATTATAATATGGTACAACATTCTTTTGAAGGGTAGCCTGTAAATATATCCAAAGTAAAGGGGCCTCTTGCCACAACAGAGTGGTGGGTAAATAATCTGTAATCAAAACAATAAGAATTAAAGGTTGATTACAATCAATGCAAGAAACACAGCTCTGAGATAAGGCTTGTTGTACCTTTTGCAAGGCTAGGCATGCTGCGGGAGTAAGCACTCCTTGGGAGGTAGGGGAACTGTCTCCCTTCAGGATATCGAATAAAGGTTTAAGGTCTCCTGTTGTGAGGTGCAGATGTGGACAAGGCCAATTAATACCCCCTAGAAGTTTTTGAAAATCATTGAAAGTCTGTAAAGAATCCAATTGTGAGGTGGAAGTATTGTTCATGGGTACGATTGGAAGCCTAGATATTGATAAGGATATTGAAGTTGCATTTTCTCAGGGGCTGGCTATGATAAGACCAAAAGCAGATAGTTGCTCTTTCATTCCTGTCAGACATTGCATCACCAAGAATTCCTCGGGTCCAGCTATTAAAATATCACCCACATGGTGTACAATATATAAATTGCTATATTTTTTGCAAATTTGTTGCAGAGCAGCATCAATGAATTGTTGGCACAAAGTAGGGCTATTAGCCATTTTTTGAGGTAAGATCCTCCATTGGCATCTTTGCATAGGTTCTTTAAAATTTACTGGTGGAACACGGAAAGCAAATCGGGGACAATCTTCTGGGTGTAAAGGTATAGTATAAAAATAATCTTTTAAATCTATTATTGCAATATAAGAGTCCTTTGGAATTGCAGTAGGCAATGGTAAACCTGGTTGTAAAGCCCCCATCATTTCCACAGTAGCACTAACAGCCCTAAGGCCTTGAAGCAATCGCTATCTCCCAGATTTCTTTCTGATAACAAAAATAGGACTATTCCAAGGAGAATTAGAAGGAACTAGTTGTCCCGCTGTTAATTGTTCTTCCACCAATATCTGTGCAGCATTTATCTTTTCCTGCAGTAAAGGCCACTGATCCACCCACACGGGATTATCTCATTTTTATTTTATTTTATTTTTTGCACGGGGCACAGGCTGACCAGTAGCCATCAAGGGAAACCCAAGCCTCTCTGGTCATGATTGACAGTTAAAGTAAGTAACTGGAGATGTGATGCTTTGTTGTTGTTTGCCTAAACCCTTACCTGGCAGATGACCTTGTTGAAGTATGTTAGTGGTAACAGTCTTATTTGGACTACGCATTAAAGCCCCCATTTGAATTAGAATATCACGTCTCCATAGATTAACAAGTAATGCAGCCAAAATATAGGGGCGACAGGCTCCAGCATTACCTGCTTCATCCTCCCATTGCAGCAACTTGGAACTTTGTGCTGATCTCTGACTCCGACCAATACCTCGCGACTGAGTCATGGTCATTTCCTTTCTCCAATTCGTGGGCCAGCTTGCTGCTGAAATAACAGAGCCATCAGCTCCAGTACCTAAAAGACCACTGAATAACTTTTTATTTAATTTTAAGAAAAATTTGGGTCGGTCCTTAGTTATGGGTTGTATCCAATAAGCATCAGAAGATCCAAAACCTTTATTTCCTCTTTTATTTAAAAAAGACTTTCCAATTGAAGAGAAGGGGAGCAGAATCGGTTGAGCGATGCGTTGTCCTGGAGGTAAGTTACATTATTGGTTTGAGCCATCATTTTTATCTCACCAGTAAAGTCAGCGTCTGTAACTCCAGGAAAAACCTGTAACCCTTTCATAGTTGTACTACTTCTGCCCAGTAGGAGACCAAAAAGCCCAGTTGGCAAAGGACCAAAAATCCCAGTAGGGAGGGCTTGTGGGCCCATCTCAGGGGTCAGTACTCTATAGGTCCAGTCGCGCACTACCCTCTGTGGCTCTGTGGAGGGAACTGACGGATGTAGGGTGTTTTGTCGAGGAACAAATGTCATGGCCCCCAAAATGTGTTGGTTTTGTTGGGATGGGGCCTGGGGCCAGCCCCGCTTTTAGTTTTTTGAACTTTATTCTTTTAATGAATTGCCTTTCTATCAGTTTTGGAGTGACATGTATTGGCCCAATGCCTTCCTCTTTTGCACCGGGGGCAAATCGCAGGAGGAGTCTTATTTTGATCTTTAACTTTTGGACCTTTTTGTTGCACATGTCCCTGCTGCCCACATTGATAGCACCCTCATTTATCAGGCATAGCCCTCCTTGTTGCTTTTTGTAATGACATACCAAGCAGAGTGGCAGGTCCTGAATGTCCTGTTTTCAAATTAATCCATTTTGTTAATCTCTCATCAAAGAGACTGTCACTGAACACCTCAGCCACAATAGCCAATTGATCCATATCTGCATTGTACTTATGTTTTGTAGAATGCACAGTACTGTGGGCATTCCTAGGCAGTCTTCACACAGCACCAGAAAAGGATCCATACCGAGAATTAAACATCATTAGTCATCATCACGGGCACGTTTAACGTTCAGCTTGACTGCGTGTTCCCCCGGGATGAAACAGCAGCAGCAGAGGCTTGCTCCGGCTCCCCCTTAAAGCCCCCAAGGACAAGGGTGGCTCATTGCCAAGATTTTAGGCAAGCAGTGCGTCCCGTCTCAGATCTTGGCCAGAGAGAGAGCCGAGACACAGAGCATGCCCACCTGTTTATCAGAAAACATACCTTTATCCTCCTCCCCGGGAACTGGCCTGTGGGGAGCAAACCGGACTAGACTGAGTTACTGGAATTAAGACTTATTCTATGCATCTGCTCTCCCACAATATGGCGCTGGGAGAGAAGTAAACAGCTTCCGCACAGCTGCCTCCAGTTCAACCAATAAACTGTAGGACTTGCTACTGACTGGAGGAGAGCAGCGTACTCGGCGTGTGGGCAGCCGAGTTGGGATTGGCGGAGGAGGACTATAAAGGAGGAGAGAGACAGCATGCACCAGGAACATCTAAGGGGAACACCTATTTGAAGGAACACCTGTGCAGCCCCCAAGAGAGCCGGCCGGCGGTGTGCCGCTCCCCTGCGGAAGTGGGGAATGTGGCCAGGGGGAACTGCCCTTCCACGGAGGTGGAAGGGATAGTAGCCAACCCGGGAAGAACCAGCAGCAAACCCGGGGAGGGCCGAGCAGACGAAAGAACAGCGCAGGGTCCTGTGTCGTTCCTCCACGAAGACGGGGAGCGACACTGGCCAGGCTCCCAAGGAGCAGGAGAAGGTTATCCGGCACACAAGTTACTTGTTTATCAGAGCCAAACGTAGATACAAGCCTCTCCATCCCAAAAATCTGTCCTTACATTTGGCCCTAGAGTTGCACCAAGGTATAGGCATAATTAACACATCATAAGAATACAATACAAATTTCTCATACAAGTATACATCCAGCGATCCAACACAATAATATTCAATGTGTTTTAAGGATAAATTGAAACATATCCAAGGGGGAATTAGCCTCTTATTATCTGTAATTGTTACATTTTTGCAGGTTTGTGGAATCTTAACTATTTGCGGCATATTTTGATTTACATTTTTTTTTTTTTTTTGTAAAGCAAACCAAGCATAATCTGTCCAAGCATTCCTATCAATAATAGGGGTAGAGTTAGTACCTAAAACAAAAACAGAATGGGTAGTCCGGACACTTTGTCACCACAATTCCTCATTTCACATAGTAACATTAACTTCACAACAGGTAACATTTACTTCAAATGAAGTATTTAAATGCAAGGTGAGGGCTGTCCAGTGTACACTGATCTGTATTTTTTACTCCCAGCGTTTCTTATCCACAACACCCTCTTCAGCAAACCAAGGACTAATGTTTTCAACAGCACTGATAAACTGCTCTACGGTTTGTTTCTTTAACCCTATTCTCTACATCTGCAATAAAGTGTTCACAGCCTTTGTCGTGGCTTGCTTTGTTTCTTTAAATGCACATTAAATCTTTTCGGAGCAAATCCCAGTGTTGCTCCTTCCCGACTCCTTCTGCAAACCAAGGACTGACTGTTCCTATAGCACTAATGAACTGTTCTATGGCTCGCCTTTTTTAACCCTTGCTCCTCCTGCCTTGAGTGATGCTTTTAACCCCTTCACAAAGAGAGTTCCTGCTTACTTAGCGTTTGCCCCATAGTTTCGTCGCTCCGCTTACCCTCGTAGCCTGTATCACGGACGGGTCAGGACGCGGTGGCCACCATGCGGGTCTTCACTCGCCTTCTCCGGGCCTGTATCACAGATCAAACATCTGTGGTGGCTCTTATGAGAAGAGGCGGCGACCTAAATGAAACAGCCAGCTTTTCCAGCGACGTTCAGCTCAATTCCCGTTCCTCATGCCCCACGTTGGGCGCCACTTGCCCCGGCCCGCGGGGTAATCTACTAGGACACGAGGAGGGCAGACCTGAAGGGAGAGACCAACCAGACACGAGAAGGGAGACCAAGACAGTACTCTGATCAAGCTCTCACTTTATTGGAGAAGGAGGTAGCTTATATAGTACAAGGCAAGGACCGTAACAGTCGAGGGTAAGCAGGGGTCATCTTACAACATAGTTTAAAGGAATAATTTCACAGGAATCAGTATCAGTTTGACAAAGGGGGTTACAGCGAGGTCTTACAGCTACCAGATGTGCTTATCAAGGTACAGGAAAGAGAGCACTGAAGCCAGATGGCCAAGCGCTAACCATAGCAGTGAGCTGTACAAATGGAACTTTCTAGTGAATCCTCCTTACAGGAACACAGTTGAAGGTTAGTCTAAACAAAGGCCTATACAGGGACACCAGCACAGTGGCTCCCAACAACAGGGTGCCTTCCCCAAGAGGTTCACACCTCCCTTAGGATGTACCCCGTGTGAAGAGATCGATAAGCTTGTTCCTCATAACGGACAGAGCCTTCAAGCCCACCGGATTATTATCAGGCCCCTTCTGTCAGTTTCTGTTTGGCTTAGACAGCACCTTTCTTAGGTCCTCTCATAATGACTCTGTCCTTTGTTCTAGACCCTGTCTAGCCCACTCCGGGCCTCATTCCTTTGAATCGTGGCCTCTGCTCTTGCATCAACGGCTCTACTCCCCTTGGCTTATCAATAATCCTCTGCAAGTTTGGGACTGGCCATCTCCAGGCTTTCACCTTCCAGCCCTTGTCCTCCCGCTCCTGTTCCAGTTTTAGCCCAAGAACAGCTCCTTGATTACTGATAACAAATTAGGTATCAGACCCTCTGAGGACTCTTTTGTGTTATCATGAGCAAGCCAGATAGGGAAATCAGGTCTTCTGACCTCCACTCCAGTGGGCGTCTTGTCCTTGGATTGGTGTCCACAGTTATGTTAGGTAGGAAGTCAGAAATTGAGCCCATGTGTGCCTGAGAAAGGCCTGAAGACCAGCACCCACTGTGGAAGCTCCAGAAGCCCAGCATCCTGCACTTCGAAGTCCTGCCCGGATCCTGATGACCTTCCAGGGAGTCCTGCCCCTTCTGCCTGGCCTGGTAAACAGGCTTCCTCTAAGGCGGGGCGATGCCGATGCCAGCCAGGCATCTCCCTGGTAAGTTCAGGGAGAAAAAGTCAGACAGGAATTCTTCGTATTTAACCCAACAAGTCCTTTGTTCGGGAGAAGGAGAAGGAGAAGGAGAAGGAGAAGGAGAAGGAGAAGGAGAGGGGGAGGGGAAAGGCGGGAAGGCAAGACCCATCCCCTTAGGAACCCCAGCCTGCACATGAACTACGCACTCTCTCTCGGATCCTGCCTGGAGGGGTGCCCATCCGTTCTTACGCGTGTCCCTACCCTAATAAACCTTGCTATGTTGCTTTCCCCTGCTGCCTCACGCCTGAATTCTTTCTTGCACGAAGACAAGGACCCTTTGCTTCTCTGGTCACACAACTAGACAAGAACCCTGTGGATGCGGGCCGGCGCCGCGGCTCACTTGGTTAATCCTCCGCCTGCGGCGCCGGCACCCCATGACGGTGCCAGGTTCTAGTCCCCTACTCCCCTAGTCCCCGTTGCTCCTCTTCCAGCCCAGCTCTCTGCTGTGGCCCGGGAGGGCAGTGGAGGATGGCCCAAGTGCCTGGGCCCCTGCACCCGCATGGGAGACCAGGAGGAAGCACCTGGCTCTGGCTTTGGATCGGCACAGCACCGGCCATGGTGGACATTTGGGGAGTGAACCAACAGAAGGAAGACCTTTCTCTCTGTGTGTCTAAAACTCTACCTGTCAAAAACAAAAACAAAAACAGAAACGATCCTACGGATGGTTCCAGGGTTGGTTTGCCAGCTTGCCATGGCTTACTACTCTACTAGTGGCACCGGCTGGCCCTGTAATTCTAACATTCCTAGCCCTGCTTCTAGGCCCGTGCATTAAAAACTGTGTTACTAGCTATGGTCCAAAAAGAATTAGCACAGTGAAGTTAGTGGCTCAGCGGGGGCTCTCTCTTGTCGGTGGTTTTAGCTTCTCCTGGACATGGAATGTCGCGAGGCAGCGACAGGCCTGGACACACAGCTGTCCTGAGGAAGCCTGTTTCCCACACGCGCGCGGAGCCCTCGGCTGTCTGCGCGGGGTAACGCCACCTCGGTGCCAGGCAGCGAGCTCCCGGGCGAGCAGAGCCCCGCACGGCCTGCCCAGCGCAGGGGCCGCCCTTTTCGTCGGTCCTCGTCCTCGGGACGCTCTCCACGCTAGTTGAAGTGTGTCAGCTGCAAACGAGCTCCAGTGAAAGGCAAGGCCCCTCCCACAGCGGCAGTCGGTGCGGCGGCCGGTCCCCCGCGGTGCGGGTCCCGCCCCAGCCGGGAGTCACGAGCACGCGGCGGAACCGCCGGCTCTCTCGGGCCCTCGCGGGAGAACCCGGGAACTCCGTGCGGAGGCCTCGCAGCCCACAAGGCCGAGCCACGTGGCCATGTTTCCGCGGAGCGGCGCGCGGTCCCTGGGGCGGGGCGGGGCGGGTGCATGCAGATGAGGACGGCGGGGGCGTGACATGCAGATGAGTGCGGCCGCGGCGGTGGGGCGGGGGAGGAGAAAGGAGGAGGGGGGAGAGGGGCCGGTCCCGAGCGCGGGCGAGGAATCGCCCGCGTGGACGATGAGGGCGATAGGGCGGCGTGGCCTGCGGGGCGCGCGCGGGCCCGAGGAGCGGCGGGGGCGGGGCGGGGCGGGGCGGGAGTCACCGCGCGTGAAAGGTGCGCGGCGGGGGCGGGCGGCGGCGCGCGCGCAGGGGCCCGGCATCGCTTCTCGGCCTTTTGGCTAAGATCAAGTGTAGTATCTGTTCTTATCAGTTTAATATCTGATACGTCCTCTATCCGAGGACAATATATTAAATGGATTTTTGGAGCCGGGAGTTGGAATAGGAGCTTGCTCCGTCCACTCCGCGCATCGACCCGGTATTGCAGTACCTCCGGGCGCGGTGCACCCCCTCGGGGGAAATAATGAGTTGACTAAAAACAGAATAATCAGTGCTTAAGGAACTCTTCGTTTTTTCTCGCTACTTCGCGACCCATGGGAATAAAAGGTCTTGCTTCTACACATACGGGAAAAATAGAGCTTCACAATCTTGTTTCCGGCCGTGACTGGAGCACAATCTTAGTCCACAAAGAACTCTAGAAATCCATGTTGAGAAGGGGATTTCATTGCACTTTAGGCTGCATCTCCCAGTGAAGGTAAACAGAGCGTGAATTCCAGCTGTGATGTTTGGCTATTGAGCAGCACTAGGAGGAGTTCTAGATCAAGAGTAGAGAGGGGGACAAGTCCGAGAAGTTGCGTTCGGTTCGGTTCGGTTGGTTTTTTTAAGTCAACTATTTTAGGGACAGGATGTGCCTATTTAAGCCCAGAGGTGAGGCCTGCACTTAAGACGCCTGCATCAGGGCCAATGTCGCGCACAGCAGTGTTAAGCCGCCACTGCTGCATGCCATATCGGATTCAGTCCACACCGCCCCAGCTCCCTTGTAAAGTGCTGTGACAAGTTGGGTCCACAGATGGCCCAAGTCCTTGGGACTCTGCCAGCCATGGATGAAGCGCCTGACTCCTGGCTTCAACCTAGCCAGACTGAACCAGCAGATGGAGCACCTCTCTTCTTTCAGATAAATGTTTATGAGATAAGCAAATGCCTGTATCCCATGTCAGAGTGCCTGGGTACAATACCCCAGCTCTGGCTCCTGATTCGAGCTTCCTGCTGGTGCAAGACCCCGGGAGGCAGCAGGTGATGCCTCAAAGTAGTTGGGGCCCGGCCGTCTTTGTGGGAGACCAAGATGACCCTCCCAGCTCCACTCCAGCCCAGCACGGCTACTGGCCATTGCAGGCATCTGGGGAGTGACTCAGCAGCGGTTGAAGCCATCACCTGCAGAGCCAGCCTCCCACATGGGTGCGGTTCCTGAACCAGCAGATGGAAGCAAAAGCGCCTGCTCTCGCTCTCTCCAGCCTACCCGCTCTGTGTGTGCCCACTCCCACTTCTGTCTGCCGGCCAGAAGGGAACAAAGGAAGGGAGGAAGGAAGAAAAACGAAAAGAAAGAGCATTTGGAAGAACAAGGGGAAAAGTGTTATCTCACCAAAAAGCTTCCTTTTCCTTTTCCTTTTCCTATTCTGAAGTACAAAAGCAAACTGCTGGTTGGGAGACCTTTAATGAAGTCTTGCATCCACTGCAAAAGGAAAAAGAGAGAGAGAGAGAACCAATGATTCTGTGAGGAATCAGCGTGCTAGAAAAAACAAACAGTGCTTGCAGGTGCATTCCAGAAACTGGAAAGCCAGCTACGATTGTCCTCTCTGGTCAGCAGGACTGGGGCTCTAAGTGTATGGTAGCAAATAAAAGGGCAGGATAAGCACAGGCTCCAGACTGACTGGGCTGTGCCCTGATGGATGACACACGAACATCTCGGAGGTCATACTTCGCTGCTTGCATTTCATTGTGCAGTCACGTTGCACAGAATATCCTGCCATCTCCACCTCATGACGAAGCCAAGGCAGGGAACAAGTCTCCCAGGGAGCTGGGCTGCTTCTGAGATACCTGGTATCAGACCAGCAAGCAGATGGGACCTGGCTCAACAGCCCAACCTCCCCTTTGCACTGCTTAAAAGCCTCCGACCTGTAGCCAGCACCGTGCCTTGGAAGGTTAAAGCCTCCACCTGCAGAGCTGGCGTCCAGTGGGTGCCAGTTTGAGTCCCGGCTGCTAATTTCCAATCCGGCTCTCTGCTATGGCCAGGGAAAGCAGTAGAAGATGGCCAAGTCTTTGGGCCCCAGCACCCACGTGGGAGACCCAGAACACGCTCCTGGCTCCTGGCTCCAGATCAGCTGAGCCCATTATTGCAGCCATTGGGTGTCGCTCCCCCTCTTTGCGGAGGAACGACACCGCCGGCCGGCTCTCTCGGGGGCTGCTCAGATGTTCCTTCAGATAGATGTTCCTGGTGCATGTTGTCTCTCTCCTCCTTTATAGTCCTCTTCCACCAATCCCAACTCTGCTACCCACACGCCGAGTACGCTGCTCTCCTCCAATCAGGAGCAGGATCAGCTCCTGCAGCTTATCAATTGAACTGGAGGCAGCTGCGCAAAAGCTGTTTCCTCCTCTCCCAGCGCCATATTGTGGGAGAGCAGATGCATAGAATAAGTCTTAATTCCAGTAACTTAGTCTAGTCCGAGTTGCTCCCCACAATTGGGGAGTGAACCAGCCGATGAAAGATCTTCACTTCCTTCTATCTTGCCTTTTAAATAAACAAATAAATCATTTTAATTAAAAAAAAAAAGCCTCAGATCGTGGTCACTGAGCAGGAAAGGACAGTATTTCTTGAGACCCCAAGGTCTGCACTTGTCCTCATCTACCAACAATCTTTTCTTGACAATCAAATACTGTCCTCTAAAAAAGTTATTTATTTTTTTAAAAGATTTATTTTATTTATTTGAAAGACAGAGTTACAGAGAGAGAGGTCTTCCGTCTGCTGGTTCACTCCCCAGATGATCGCTAAGGCCAGAGCTGCACCAATTCAAAGCTAGGATCTTCTTCCAGGTCTCCCACGTGGGTGCAGGGGCCCAAGCACTTGGGCCATCTTCTACTGCTTTCCCAGGCCATAGCAGAGAGCCGGATCAGAAGAAGAGCAGCCTGGACTAGGACCGGCACCCATATGGGATGCTGGCACTTCAGGCCAGGGCTTTAACCTGCTACACCACAGCGCTGGCACCTATTCATTTATTTGAAACTCAGAGTGAGCCGGTGCCGTGGCTCCCTAGACTAATCCTCCGCCTTACAGCACCGGCACACCGGATTCTAGTCCCGGTCAGGGCGCCGGATTCTGTCCCGGTTGCCCCTCTTCCAGGCCAGCTCTCTGCTGTGGCCAGGGAGTGCAGTGGAGGATGACCCAAGTACTTGGGCCCTGCACCCCATGGGAGACCAGGATAAGTGCCTGGCTCCTGCCATTGGAGGGTGAACCAACGGCAAAGGAAGACCTTTCTCTCTGTCTCTCTCTCTCACTGTCCACTCTGCCTGTCAGAAAACCTTTCTCTCTGTCTCTCAACAGAAAGAAAAAAAGAAACTCAGAGTGACACAGAGAGAGAGAGAGAGAGATCTTCCATAAACTTGTTAACTCCCCAGATGGCCACAATGATGGGGGCTGTGCCAGGCCATAGCTAGGAGGTTCTTCTAGCATCCCACGGGGGCGCAGGGGCCAGATCACCTGGGCTGTGTTCCGCTTCTTTCTCAAGCGCATTAGCAGGGAGCTGGATCTGAAGTGGAAGCAGCCTGGCTTGAGCCGGAGCCCAGATGGGACTCCAGTGTCCCAGGTGGCGATTAACCCTCTGCCCCACAGTGCAGGCCCCGCCTTAGTTACATGACTCAGCACCAAGGGCAGGGACCCCGCTGTCTGGTACAGAGGACAGGAAGAGCTTGTTCACAGGGAATAAAGCGGTGGGTTAAGGACGTGCAGAGATGCACAACCTTTCTCAGGGAGAGACACGACCACTACACTGTGCGATACTGCAACACAATGGCTGGGCACGGCTGTGGGAAGCAGGCTTGGCTGGGACTGCTGGCTGCGCCTCAAGTTCCCGTCCCTGCTGCAGTGACTCAGTCCATGATTTACTGCCCAGAAAGGGGTTCGCAGGCACCGGGAGGAGGGGTCACCAGACGGGCGCATGGGCTAGTGCTGCCCCTTTAAGCGGTGCAGACTGAGGAAGGGGGCTTGTTACTGGAGAATGGCAGGGTTCTTGTCTTCACGCAAGAAAGAATTCAGGTGCGAGACAGAGGGTAGTGGAAAGTAAAATAGCTAAGTTCATTAGGGAAGGGACGTCCATAAGAACGGACGGGCACCTCTGCAGACAGAACCTGAGAGAGTGCCCAGTCGCTCGGACTGCGGGAAGAGCGAGGTTACATGGTTGGGTGGAGAGAACACACCTGGCCAGGCAGGCGGGCGGCTCAGCGTGGAGGCAGAGGGCTGAGCGCGCAGTCCGGTTGAGGCCGGGGGGTTTCAAGGAGATGGGTCTTTGTCTTCACACATCTCCTCCTGAAACAAACGACTTTATGGGTGTAAATATGAGAAACTCCTATCTGAGTTTTCCCCCAGAAGTTATCAGGAGGAGGCCTAGCTGGCGCCACCCTGATTTTAGAGGAAGGGTGAGCAAGATCCCTGGGGGACCGGGATCTAAGCAGGGTAACGGGGGCGATGCGTAGACACGGACGGACAAGTCACAGTGACAGGAACTCAAGGGCGACACCACCATACAGCTCCACGTATTCCCCTCTCATCTCATTCCCAGCACAGGGACACTGAAGCCAACCTGGCTCCCTGATCAAGCGACCCCAGCACCCCAGGTGGGGCGGTGTGGGGCACACGTTTGGTCAGCTTGAGAGCCTTTGTCTACACCAGGGTGCCTGGGTTCCAGTCCCTGGGGACAGCAGGGTACGCCCCCACAGGGGAACACGTGACATCAAAAAGCAGGCTGTAGAGGTTTTCTCTTTAGCTGTTGCCAGTTTGTGTTGGGCTTGGAAGATGCCCCAGTGTTGGGGCTTCTGTCTCACCTGCTGTCAGGTAGGAAGTCAGAAACTGAGCCCGTGTGTCTGTGTGTGTGTGTGTGTGTGTGTGTGTGGGAGACAGGCCTGCAGCAAGAAAACCTCAGACACGCCTGAAGGGAAGCCCCCGACTCAGCCCAGTGCCAGCAAATCTGGGGAGGAATTTGCTAATTTTCTCCCAACAAACCCTTCCTCCAGGACTCTCCATTCTTTGTCCTGGAGGAGGGGGGAGGTGGGTAAACAGACCCCCTTAAAATCCTAGGGAATCCAAAGGGATGGACCCTCAGCCCTCTGCCTCTCTGCGGAGCCACCTGCCTGGCCTCATCCTCTGCACTCAACCATGTAACCTTGCTCTCCCCCAGTCTGAGTGACTGGGCGCTCTCTCTCTCGCTGTCCCTTCCCTCCTGACAGATGCCCTGTCCCCAGTAAAGCCTTATCACTCTGCTCTAGGTCTCACGCCTGAATTCTTTCTTGCGTGAAGACAAGAACCCCCAGCTTCCATGGCCTTCCCTCCGGGAACATTTCTGCCAACCACGAAGGGACTTCCACACAAGAAGGAGGGGGGAGGGGAAATGCCTGGGTCTAAGGCTGGCCTTGCAGGTTTCCCCACCTAAGCTAGAGAGACACCTTAATCCATGAACCCTTACAACCCGATGGATGGGTCTCTCTCTGCGGCTCATGGAAACTTTTCCTTCAGCCCCGCAGGAGTCTGACTGCCTCTTTGTGTTGTGATGTGCTTCCTGTCCGAAGCACTGGGCTCACACGCTGATGATCGGCCCTCTTCTGTGCTGCTGTCCCTGACTTGGCTGATGAGAGTTTTCACGTGTCTTGGAGGTTTCCTGTTTTTCTATTGCCAGTACTGAGTCTTGATTGGGAGAACTGTGTCTCAACGTTGTTTACGTTATCTGCCTATTTGTAATGTTTGAGGGATTACCTCAACTCTGATCAGATCTGGCCCACAGCCTTGGTAAA